AAAACTGCAGTTTAAATAAGAGATTCATTATGTCTTATCAATATAATAGAATTTAGACATTAATGTATTGCGCTGATTGACTATTGCACTTATTCTTGTAGCAAGCTACTTAAGGCTTTTTCGATTAAGTAAGGTTCTGGATATAGCAGGCCGCTGGACATAGTGATGATGATTTGTAAGAACCGACAACTCACCTACGCAGACGGTCTGTGCGATCTGCTCGATCTCGGCCTGCAGGGCGTTGAAGTCTTGCAGCTCGATGACCTGAGTAATGTATTTATGTAGTTATTTTATATGTATATGAATGCATCAATTCCAACCAGTATAAATGATTCCAGAACATTTTATGATAAACGTATTTTAATGTAAATAATTGTTAATGCTTTTAATACTTAATACTTAATATTTTATACTTTGTAAATTCAACATAATTCAGGCAATTGTAAGTCTGCAAGTTGAATAAAGATCCATTCATTATGTTTACCGAAGGAAAGCATATTGTTTTTACTCCATTTCCTCTTCCTCTTCTTCTTCTCCAAACACTAACCTCTGACCTGGCCAATGACATGATTTGTTGACGTCTGTCAACATGGTGACTGGTGTTGGGTTACATAATGTTGCAAACTTCATGGTCTGCTCTGCTCCTGTTACCATATACTAGTAGTACATGTATGTGTTTGAGTAAATAAGAATTAACAGAGCAGACCATGTCCGAAGGTAAACATTATGCATTTGCTTTGCAAATGTTACTTCTCTAGTTCACCTTGTTCTGGTCCTGGGCGGCGATGGCCAGGAGCTCGGCGGCGTCGTAGTTCCCCACGCCGATCGCGTACACGTCCACGCCGCCAGACGCCAGGGCGTTGGCCGGGGCCGTCACGGAGTCGGTGGACTTGCCGTCCGTCACAACGATCATCACCTGGAGAAAAGGTAGCAACCCTGTCAATCAACTGAAACCCACTCTCCGCCCACCCACGTCCATTAGCTTACATGGCTCGACTATTACAGTTCCGTCCGTCACAACGATCATCACCTGGAGAAAGGTCACAACCCTGTCAATCAACTGAAACCCACTCTCCGGCCACCCATTTTCATATGCTTGCCGATCGCGTACACGTTCACACCGCTCGACGCCAGGGCGTTGGCAGGGGCCGTCACGGAGTCGGTGGACTTGCCGTCCGTCACAACGATCATCACCTGGAGAAAAGGGGTCGCATCCCTGTCAATCACTTGAAACCCACTCTCCGCCCACCCATTCTCATATGCACGCCGATCGAGTACACGTCCACGCCGCCAGACGCCAGGGCGTTGGCCGGGGCCGTCACGGAGTCGGTGGACTTGCTGTCCGTCACCACGATCATCACCTGGACAAAAGGTCACAACCCTGTCAATCAATTGAAACCCACTCTCCGCCCACCCATTCTCATATGCACGCCGATCGCGTACACGTCCACGCCGCCAGACGCCAGGGCGTTGGCCGGCGCCGTCACGGAGTCGGTGGACTTGCCGTCCGTCACCACGATCATCACCTGGAGAAAGTGTCACAACCCTGTCAGTCAATTGAAACCCACTCTCCGCCCACCCACTTCCATACGCCACTTACTTTGGATAGGTATTGTTTCTATGTCATTTTATCACTAAGAGGTTCGGCATTCTTTTACGGTAAAAAATGAAACACCTGAAATTACCGTCCCATTCAATCTCCCTTTTACAAGTAAATGCTTCTCCGAACTGAATAAATGAGATCTGAACTGTATTGAAGAAATGTTTTGGGTCCGTTGATGGAGGTTAGACATCCAGGTAAACCAATATTCAAACAAAAATCAAACTCTACTAATGGAAAAATAATTGAGATAACTTTTCGAGTGACATCCATCCCTCATCTTCAGCGTCACTAAATTAACTGAGAGCACGAAATGTCTAAATGAGGATAGGGTAGTTCCTATGGTAAGACCTGACTGTCTACCTGCCTATGTGCTCAGGCCAGGTAATGGCCCCTTGCTCCCCTCCATCTGGTTCCTCCAGCCAGCACTATCAACGGCAATAGTCTGACTGCTTCCTTATAGGGATAAGCCCTGTGTCACTTTGAATCTGGTCTTTCCACCTCTTGGGTGGTCTTCCCCGGGGTCTGGGTTTTTTTAACTCCTGGTGGTATGCCTTATAAACTAAGGTGTTTGCTGGTCTTCGCATCACATATGGTAAGACAATACCATAGAAACTGCTTACCTTAGGAACACTGCCTCCCCTCCATGCAGCGTTGACGCGGGAGAACTCCAGCGCGGACCCGGTGGACGTGCCGCCGCCCTGATACACGATGCCGTCGATGGCGGCCAGGGTGGAGGGCTTGTCACCGTGGTCTCCGAGGTTGAACTCCAGGCTGGAAAAGAAAATGAATATTTGTATTTTTTCTATTCCAACTTTTATTACAAGACAGTGACGCCACACTCAAGTTTTTTTCAGTGTTATTTTTATGCCGCCACCAACGCAGTAACAGAGTCTGAGTAAAGTGAGGGGATTTGTGTCAAGTGCCTTTCCCAAGGGCACAAGATCGGTGGCATGGCAGGATTCGAGCCCGGGACCTCTTGATTCCGAGCCAAACGCTCTGTTGTTACGCCACACGACCTCAAAAATGAATATTGAAAGTAGGGTAATGGGTTGAAATATTTTGGGCAGTTCTGAATGATATACAATTTGTTTTGAAACTAACCGACATCTTGCACATGCAGTCATCCCTCAGTAAGACATCTGGAGCCACATAGTTCCCGTTCAGGTCGGAGTACTGCACGACGCCAACCCTAGCGAAATCCAATCTCCACCCACTCACTTAGGAACCGAAACATACAAATCGGCGACACCCAAAACAAGACTTCCGTCCCGGAACCAGATGATGAAGTCACGTACTATCATGAAAGTTCATCTGTGTTGGTAGATACCAGTCTTTTTCAAAGAAGCCACGTCAGTCTACTGACGACTCCGACCCAGGTGATACCCAATCTCCACCATGTTTCTTGTCCACCCACTCACTTTGGAACCGAAACATAAAGATAAACCTAGCATGCATTAGCGCCACTCAAAACAATACTTCCGTCTCGGAAGTAATAACCGGCAGACAAAAACTCACGTGTTGCGGTCGGAGTACTGCACCACACCGACCCTTGCGGCGGTTGCGCTGATGTCGGAACCCAAACATACAAACCGAGCATGCATTAGCGCCACCCAAAACAATATTTCCTTCCCGGAAGTAATAACCGGCAGACAAAAACTCACGTGTTACGGTCGGAGTACTGCACCACGCCGACCCTTGTGGCGGTTGCGCTGATGTCGAAGGCGTTGACCACGTTCTTGGTGAAGCCCTTCATCAGGTCGAAGTTGGCGCTGGTCACACTTCCGGAACCGTCCAGCACGAAGAACAGATCCAGCGGGGCGTGCACGTGGGCT